AGAAGAATTTAAAAAATTTAAACAAGTGAAAAATAAATTAGAATTAAAGAAAAATAAGTGGCAGAAAACAACTTCATGTATTATACACAGTTCTTTTGTGGATCTCTATTAAAAATGCAATGCAATTAAACAAATTGCTTTCTGTCACTCATAGCAGTTTGTGTAATGGGTTGATGTGTTAGCACAAGAGAAGGAGTTCTGCTGTTCAGTTCCCCTAAGCACAGTGTTCAGGGGCTGGAGAGGAGCAGGTGAGAGCTGTATAGGTTCCAGATCAGGCGTGACTCAGAGAAAAGTCCTGCTTTCCTTCCTGAAGAAAATCCATGAGCAATAATTAATAAATCACCATGCTCCAAGAGTTAGTGAAGCACACTGCAAAAACAGACACCAGCCTTCCTGTGTTATTTTTTTTCCAACAGCCTTCGCAGAGCAGCCTGCTCTTTGGCTGGAGCTGATCTACATTACAGCTGGGTCAGATTTTGCCTGATTTTAAATGGGTTCTTATTGATTGAAAGTAGATCTGAGCTCAGGCAGAGGCAGGAGAGGCCCTGCCATCAGCAGGTCCAATTATGCCACAGAGGGGCTGCAGCTGGAGCTCAGCACAGCCCCCACACCTCCAGCAAATGCTTTAGTGCTCTGCAGGACCTGTGCCAGAGATCTCTGCCCGTTACAAGATGGAGTTACCAGGCAGATGGAAGCGATCCAAAGCAGGGCTGTGCAGCAGAAAAGGCAGCAGATTACAGCCCTCAGCTGAAGGCTGCTTTTCTCCTCCCTGGCTGAGAGCAGAAGGTGCTCTTAAAGCCCTCACATTGAAGAGAAAGGGCAGTGTGGCACTGCCACTCAGCACAGCCACAAATGGTGCAGCTTTTCTAACCTAAAAGAAAGAAAGATCTAAAATGCTGGTGGACCTTACTAATAGGCACAGGCTGAAATTAGAGCATTGCAGAGAAAACAGTTATGTTACAAGAGCCATGGTTTCTGCCCCTCACAAGCTGACAATCTGTGAAGGCAGCCAAATCTTCCTGAGAGAAAAAAAAAAATTGGATACAAACAAGCAAGCAACCATAGATTGCAAAAAAAAAAAAAAAAAAAAAAAAAAAAAAAGAGTGCTGCACATGCAAGATCTCGGGGGTGACGAAGAGGACACAGCAAACAATGCCAGCTCAGTCTCAGCAATCCTTGCAGCACATCTCGATGCGCTCATCTCCCTGCTTTCATTTCTCTCCTGTCCCGAGTGAAGGGTTTGTGTTTAATAACATCGTTTGCATCAGTGTGTCCCAGCTGACCAAGGTACCGGGGCTGGGAGAGATTAGCATGGTAATCTCATTCTGATGGATAAAATTAGCAGAGATATTCCCTTGAATGGATAGCTGCCATTGGCGAGATGCCGTGCTTAGAATCAATTACTAAATTACTTTGAGCTCTAAGTCGACAGTAACAGAAAAAAATTGGCATCGACCAAAGTGAAATAAGATAAAAAATATGCGATCATTAAATCTCTCACTACTATTCGCGAATGTGGCTCACAAGAACTGCACAAAAAATAAGGCAGAATTTAATTTTTAACAGTGGTCCCTGTCATCATTTCAACCAGTGCTGCGTGAGCTGTGGAGCCCAGCCCTCCTGCTCAGCTTCCTGGAGGTTGGGGGCACTGCATGGGGACTGAGGCCAGCAGTGTGCAAGTAGAGGGGATGGACAGGGCTGTGCCAGCACAAACCCTTCCTTTGTGCAGTTCTTGCTCCTGTATGTGCTTACTGCTTTGTAAAACATTAAGAAAAGGCAGGTTCCTCTCCCAGTGAACACAGCTGGGGGCTGTTCAGTGCACACATGCAGTGTGCAGAACTCACAGCTGTGGCTAACACCTCATGTTACCTGCTCTAGCATATGGGAAAAAAAAATGAATTAGTATGATTATGATAGGAAAAGGGATCTCTAGAGCATCATCATGCTGTCCATTGCATAGTCAGGGGTTCCCCCAAAATTTAGGCTTAAACAAGGTCAAACTCTCTCATCTTCATTACTGGCAAAAATATACAACATACGTTTTGCCACCCATTTGACTTGCTGGGCACTCTGCAGTGACAGTGTGTGTCAGAAGGAGAAGAGCGTGCATTATTTTTGCTAAGTTTTTGGAAGTGACCATAGACTTCAGAACTTTTGGGTGCCCTAGCCACAGGCATTGGCACTTGGACAACACCAGGATTTGGAAGCTTGTCCATTTGAGTGCATGCACCTGGAGACCTCTGGCTGCTTGGCAGCCCCTACAGACTCAAGGCAGAGTGTAAATAATTGCTCAGTCCATCTTTACTGGATTAGAAGGGCAAGAGAGAAAAAAATACCGTGTTACTCAGAAAATACAGGATGTGGCTCATTTTACCTTCAGCTCTTTCCCGTTACCTCAGCTATAGTTATGGAGCTTCAAAACAAAAAGTAAACTAAAAAAATCCAAGCGAAACACACCCAGTTAGACAGCAGGGATGTAGTAAAAAGAAATGTGAAAGAACCTTTTATCAGCTTTAAACAGTGGGAATCGCAGTAGCATAAGTAATTGATAATATTATTAGCACAGTATACATATCAGCTGTCGGGATATTATGAGGACTGAATCCAATCTCTGTTGAGGGAGTCAGGGTCAACATCATTAACTATAGATCCTGTCCTGGTTTACATATAGAGCCCTCGGGCCAAGTGTCTGCCAGATACATCTCTATAGATGTGCATAGCTATAGGACATACAGGGGGCTAATCACACACATCAGTAATAGACAACAAGCTTTTGTTTATCTGAAGGTTTACTGGAATTAACTGATTAGTGTCAAGTTGACACAATAACTTTTGTCTACAATGTAGTAGATCATTTTGATGGTTTTATTGATGGAGTGTTGTCTAATGTAAATTGTAAGGGTAGCTGAATGAAGTAGGAAAGATTTTAGTTAAACAGAAATTCAAAAAGCCACTAGGAAGCCTATTTTTAAAATGTCACATTCTGTAGCCCTACGGATGCCATAATAATGGTAACAGTGATGGCAACAACAGCAAATAAGGGAATTTAAAATAGAAATAAACTCTGTCTATTCATGAATTTAACTCTAACTTAAGCCTTCTGATAAGAAAACTTACATTAAATCTGCCATCTCTCCTTCACAAAAATAGAGTCAACCTAATGAAACAAAAGGGAAAATGAAGTAACCTATTTGTCTAAATCCCAGAACGGCCCCATTTAGAATAAAAATATGAAAAATATTTAACAGAAGATATCTGTTGTGGTAAACAAATTGATTCTTTGTGTGGATTCGTAATATTTTATCCCCTGTTTGCTATAGCTACTTTCTTCTAGAGATACTAAGGAAAAGGCTACTTTGATGCATGAAATTGCTTCTATGGACTGGTCTCAGCTTTCTACTCTCATGGTTGCACAACATAGCTAGGAGCTCATGCTTTAGAACTGCACATAAACATATTCATCTTCCAACATAAATAACAATAGGCTTTTCTGACCCAGCTATTAAATTATCTGGTGCAACTGCTGGACAATCTCCTTGTAAGTAAGCTCAGGGAATACAATGATTATGTCATGAGCGCTTCAAATATCAGAAAGATGCTGTATGGTCTGAAATACTTATATTCTGCTATAAATAATGGAAAACTAATTCACATTCTTTTATAACTTCAAGATCACCTTCTTTTTCTTTCCAGGCACAAACTGTTCTCTCCACAATAGCAAGTCAAAATAATTAGGCTAAGACAAGGGGGATACTGTGCATCACAAAATGAAGTAATTAAATTTAAGCAGCATTATCAATGATGCCCAGTTCTAACCATCGAGGCTGCAGTTAGTAACCCCAGTCTGTCCCTGTATCAAAAAGCTATTTATTCTTCATTACTGGCTATCCCTGGTTTATAGGGATCTATTGTCATTAAAGCAACTTATAGGAGGAACAGTTAGTGCAGTGATATTATGGAAATAGCCATTTCACAGCTCACGGGTAAAGTAGCATTGACTCAGAGCCTTCCAGCCATTGTTAGACATGGTGAAATTTCATCTGTATCATTTATCACCATTGATGATTCATTACATTTGTTTGCCTTATAGGAATGTAATAGAGAGTGAAATCGCATCACCAGAGAAGACCTGCAGTTTGGAGATCCCATTTATGCAACTCCTGCAGAAATCTATATGCAAGGTCTACATTTTAGATGTATACTACAGCTTCCTTGCTTCTCTCCCGTATGACACTCATTAGCATTTGCTAATTGTCATTACACTACAGAGACTGCTACTATCTGAGAAAGCATAATATCCAGAACTAAGCTTTCCAAAGGTGCTTTCTCAGGTGCCTTTAAATCTGAGGATGGAGAAGATTACAAGAGCTTCTTACATGGAAAGTAATGAAAGTAAATGGATGCTTAGAAAGGTTGTATCATTCTTGAAGAAGCACAAATCAAGTTAAGTAATTTATTTTGTGTGCTTCCCTTACCTGAGAGTGCACTAACACATCTAAGAAATCACAGCTCATCTTCAGCAGTGTGTGACTCAGCAATTTTCTGAAGAACTCTGCCTCTCTCTTCAGAAGTGCACAATATTATTGAAACCTAATATTTGGTCAGAGCCTGGTATTCTGGTCTATTAGACACATTAAATCTATGCTTGTTTGAAACTGGCTGTATACCCCATCAGTCCAGATTTCTGCCTAGTTATTATAAAAATTAACTTGAAATTGAGCTTGATTTCAGGCTAGGAAAAAAAGTCTCAGTTCAGGGCAACACAATGTTCCACGTGAGCTCTCCAGTAGTCAAACCCAAACATACAGGCATTTGGCTTTCATACAAAACAAGTCATTTTTAGCCTGCATTAAAAAGTAGCTCCTTGGCAGTGTTATAAGCTTTCTGAAATAATTTTTATTTTAAACAAGATGTTAAAATACCTAGCAATTGATTTTCTATGGACCTTCCACATAGCAATTTGCATCATAAAAGTTCCATTATTACAACATCAAGTCAGGAGTGGCTGATAAGATGCAAATACAGTACGTTGCCACTTATCCTTACAGAGAATCATCTTTTATACGAAAAGAACCTTTGACTTGCAGCCATATATGTCAAGGATTCTCAGCTGTTCCAGGCAACACAGAGTTACACAAGCACGAGAAAAAGAAAAACCCTTTGTGGTCTGCACAAAGGCCAGGTACAACAAAGATCATAGAACTCAGGAACTTGGCAGAGTGACAGCCCTCTTCCCCATGATTTCTCAGAGAAGTAGGAGTGGCCTACATTAACTTTTTTTTATGTGTGCATGAGGCTGTGAAAGAGAAATCAGTTCAGAGCTCCTGCCATGGACATCATCACCATGAAATCCATCCCAGCATCTCATGTCTACAGTAAATACCCCAACTTCTTCAGCATCTACAAGAAGAACGGAGCATTTAGATTTTAAGTTCTTGTATGAGAGGAAGTTGGTTTTTCCAAGAGTGTTTCCCCCTCAGCCATCACAGCTTGTCTTTTGGTCTGTCCTCTGCTGACTCTTTGCTTCCTTCTTTCTGCACAAGTATTTTCCAGGAAACATTTGAGCACGCTGCTGTCCCCCTGCCTCCCTACCTTTTTTCTGTCTTAACTTGTACTTTAACTCTCAGAAAACTTTGTCCATCTCTTCTCCCATTTCACCAAGAGCATAGCAAAAAAACACAGCAATTGCCAACACGCAATTAAAAGGTGCGAACTTTTACTCCCAATTCTTTTGGCTCCAGACACCTCCTAGGAGCCTGTTTTCTCTTGCAGCTTCTTTTGCCATCCCACTAGCACTGAAAAAGATGAGATACATAATAACAGAAGATGCCATTATTTGTCACTGGGCTCACTGTGTCAGAGCAATACAAGGTCTCTTTGTGCTTCTTTGTGTAAAAACATCTCTAGTTCACAAGTTCATCAAACTAAATAATGTGAAATACATAGGTAATATTCCATTTATATGAAGAGGTTATCTTGATGGCAAAAATATTCCGTAATCATTCAGACCAAAAGGAAAAACCTGAGACAGAAGACTTTATACCACTTCACCCCACAACTACGTGTTTGATAGCAATCTTACGTTAGCATAACAAATAAGAAGGAAAGTGTAAAAATTATGACTAGTAAGGAGTTTAAAAGAATATTTTTCATTATGATTAAATAATTTTGAGGGTTGTCATAAACAATGAAATAATCCTGAGAGAGAGGTTTTCTATCTCCATGTAATATGAAGGCTGTGCATTATATAAAATGAGGGGGAGCAAAAAAATTTTGCTTATCCCAGGATTCTAATTGCTTTATCTTGCCAAAATTTTTTGTCGGGTCAAAAACAAAGACCCTCATTCAGTAGTTACCAAGGCTTTCTCCAGGAAAATTCCCCTTGGCCTCATCATTTTCTCTGCAATTTTCACAGTGTTACAGACAACTCACAGCTGCCCCATGGTATAATGTGTTGGTCGTGATATCCTGTTAGATGTGTTATATGCATGCGAGTTTGCTGGTATGATTTAACAATGTGCAAAACACAGAATAGTTATAATTTAAAATGTAGGAGGAAAATGCTATTTCAATCACTGCTAATTTGCATTCCATATCCCCCAAACATCATAATAATATTATAAGGTATTGATCCAAGCATGACCATTTGATTTCACATCAATACTAATATGACTTTTCTGTGATCTGTTGACAAGTGGGATTTCTCTGAGTGAAATATATACATACCAATGCCTAACTACTTTCACTAGTAAAACTGGATTCAGCTGTTCTACATGAAAATCTTTCCTTCTTTGATATAACAGTGTCTCCCCAATACTGTCTGCTGTCTAGAAACATATTATCTTAAAGACAGAATCTGGGCAGAAAAAGTGATTATGCTATTTAGGAGCAAGAGTCCCTCAAAATTTTATTCCCATTCTCAGTGTGGTTGTTCAAGACCTGACAAAGACTGCTGGAATAGTGACCTTCTAGTGAATTTCTCTAGTGTATGTAAATAATAAAGCTTCTTTTAAACAGTTCTTGCTTTAGCAGTTTCTATGTGCAGACACCAAAAATCACATGGATCCCACAGCCCTGATTCCTGTCTCCCACTAGGCAAACCTACAAGATGACACTCAAACAGCCTTTCATTTTTTCAGCACTGCTGCTGTAGTTCTTCCTATTAAATCTGTCTCTAGCAACATTACCCAGAAGTTTTAGCTTTTTTTTTTTTTTTTTTTTTCCCCTCCTAGTGGTTGAAGTCTACCCAGTGCTCAGAGCTAATGATCCATCTTTGCTGCAGAAACCCACAAAGAGATTCCCTTTCCCATCTATACACATATACCCTCAGAACCAACAGTTTCAGATCAAGACAGCACTTTTAGTCATAGCAGACCTGGATCTTACTGATGCAGAAAGTTTGATGAAGAGAATGCAGACTGTCTGGGGAATGTGCTAAAGTGAGCTGTTACTGGGTTCATCCCAGATTTATCCCCAAACCAGCTATCCCAGTTTCCTCACAGAAGCCACAGGACCCAAGGAACAGACAGATTTCCACTTTCCTCAGGTGAGATACGTGTTCCATTGTCTGCCAAGACCTGAAAGTTGTCCACAGCCACAAAATCCAGATAAAACCGTAACTGTTCCTGGGGCACGGTTTTACCACAGGAGGCCCCCATATCTTTTGTTGACATGGCAGATCTGTGACCCTTCTTCTCTAAGTGAAGTTACAGTTAATGCTGAAGACTGCCAGTAAGACTAAGTAAGGTACATAGATCCAGTCATGGTATGGGACAAGTCAATACTGTCTCAACCTTTACCTTCAATCTCAAATGTCACTTTCCTGTACACTTTTGGTTGGAGCCCACATGCAGGAAAATGAATCCCTGAGAACTTCAGGCTCATCTAACTTTGTCAGACCCTTCTCATAAGCAGTAGTCTTCTAAAGCAGCACTGTAACGATGAAAGTAATAAAAGCAAGGGTAATTGTGATGAGTTTATGTTACATAGAAAAAGCATCTCCTCACTTATCCACACGCACACACACCTGCAGTCCAATCACTGGGTAAAAATTTCACAGGGGCAGGGGACAAACTCCAACAGGTGATCCAAAGCAATTTAAATTATACTGTGAGCTTGCCAGGGCTCCGCCATCTCCTGCTTGGTTCTTCTGATAGGCTGTGTGTGAATGCAGTGTGTATTACTCTGTGCCCTACCATCTACTCAGCTTTGCACATCACTTTCTTTACTTTTGAAGATATCAGCATATTGCAGCATACAACTACAGAACCTGAAAACTCAATTAATGTGCTATTTACATGAGTATTAACTAGAACAATGCCTATAAATGCATTAAGAAAAAAAATGCCTTCCTACAAATAGCAAATAAACTTTTAAGAACTGACCCAGTGCCAATCCTTTCAGCGCCTGTCGGAATATAGGCAATTATATTACTTAATGGCACAACACAAGTTCCCAGAGTACACACATAAACCCACATTTTCCAAGAGAGGCTTCATCATGGATTACATAAAAGGTTTCAGTGAAATCTGCAGTCTTGTTTTCATTTAAAGGTAATATCCATTCACATTCTCAACGCAAAAAGATAATTTACCCTTAATTTAAGGACCCCTCACATCAAGCATAATCAGCTTAAAGAAGACATGTGGTCAGCATAAAAAAAAGATATGTTTCACATCTTACATCTACTGCTTTTCATTCAGGTTCAGCACTGCATTCTGTTCCTTCTCTCTGCTGTTTCTCCTCAGCCAGCACTATCCCTCTTTTTCTGAAGCCCTGGCAGAGCAAGTCTGGGCTCAGCCATCAAGGCTCAAGAGTCCCCACAAGTACCCTTTTCATATGTCCTTAGCAAAAACTGACCATATAGAAGCCAACTTGAGCCTGTAATTTCATTTTGATCGCAATGAAATCAAGAGACTGTCATATGTGATTAGCAGGAAGGCATTGTTGTACTTCCCAAGTTAGCACATGGGGCTGGATGGTAGCGATTCAATTGATTGATTGGAATATTTTTTTACTGGGAGGCTAAAAACGAGCAGCTACCAGCATTACATTGCTTTTACAGAGAAGCTTGGGATCATCCATCACAAACTACTTGCAAATGAGAGTGCTGCTTAAGTAACAGCAGAATAAGTACAGCCAGACTCTACCAGGCTGCCTTATGGAAATAACAGGACAGCTACAAAAACAAAACAAAACAAAACAAGGAGCCACAGAGCAAGGCCAACCCAGACAGGAGCAGCTACCACACCACTCAGGTTATTACCTACCTGTAGCTCTAACATCATTGCCAGGAAATACCAGGGGCTGGTAGGAAGTGCACAGCTCTTCCTTTAACCATGAGCAAACTGCCCACACCTGAGCCCCCAGAAAGGTCCCAGCCCATCGACCAGGTGCTTCTTGCCCACCATTGAAGACTGGCTAATTTCCCTCAGTCTTTCAGGTATGTGCCACTGCTTTGACTTCTTGCTCTTGTAGGCAGAGCAGAATAGGGAAGACTGCAGTTTTATGCAGGAGTCACAGAATATCCTACGTTGTTGGGAGGGACCTACAAGGATGATGGAGTCCAACTCCTGGCTCCACACAGGGCATGCCAAAAAATCAAACCTTATGTTTGAACGTGATGTCCAAATGCTCCTTGAACTGCAGCAGTTGAGGTCATGACCACTGCCGTGTGGATTCTGTTCCATACCCACAACCCTGTAGTGAAGAACTTTTCCCTAACACCCAACCTGACCTTGCCTGACACAGCAACAAGCCATTTCCTCAGGCACTGTCAGCAGAAAGCAGACAATGGCAGTGCCCCTCTGCTCCCTGTGAAGAGGCCTCCCCTCAGCTTCCTCAGCTCTTGGCTGAACAAATCAAGGGATCTTAGCTGCTCCTCATACATCTTGTCCTCCAGACCCTTAAAGACCCCTCTAGATCTCTCAGGAGCTGCTGTGTGCCTCAGAAGAACCATGGGAGCTGCTGTGGTTAACCAGTGGAGCAGCACTGCCTGCCTTCAGCCCCTTCTTCAAGCAGGACTTGGAGTACCTTGCCTGAAGGCAGCGTGTCTTTACAGGAATGAATTCAGGACTGCACCCTGTGTCTCCTTGTCACTGGCCGCCTATTCTGAGAAAAGAGGCCTCTTTAACATTCCTGTGACCTCTTGACTTGAAATAGTTATCTTGCTGTGGGAAGAACGTACCTTTCCATCTTTCTTACTGCCTCATTCAACCTCACTGGAGTCATTGATACAAACAGGCATAGAAACATAAAATTGCCATAATTGGGTCAGGCCATAGGTCTGATGGTGGCCAGAGATGATTGCTTAGAGAAAGAACAGAAGAAGTGCACAGAGAAGGGCCCTTCTCCTTGGTGGATCTGCCCAGCTGCCAGCAGGTTAAAGGCCAGCGTGGAGCTGGAGCCAGCATCCATCACCTTATGATGCAAATACCAAAATACTAAATACCAGAGAATGACAGACCCTTGAGTTTTTTAAACTCATACACATCCTTTTTTATGAAATAAGACAAAAATATATCTGCAATTGTATGTGGTATGGAGTCTTATATATGGGTTACTAATGTCAACATGCTTCTGTACCTGCAAGAAAAGACAAGGATTGGCACTTTCTGACCATATTAAAGACATAAAGTATTTTTTTCCTACCACTAGGATTTCTTCAATTCATTTTAAAGATGTTTTCACTTCATTTCTTCCCCCTTCACCATACTCTGTGCATGTTATGAGGTGCTTCACAACCTCTGTGATCCATCCTTCTAGTTCCCAGCCCCATTACTGACAAAGGGGTCACACTCCATACCTATATATGTTGTGCTCCATACCATAAAGATCGATTCGCACAAGCAGGCTCGCAGCCAGCAGGCACTTCAACACCAAGAGTTCAAGCCAAACCCATTTGAAACCACCATCTTTTAAAGGTCTTGGAGGTTTTGACCAACTTTAGTGAGCTCTGAGGCCTGTAATAGATGCTGCTCCCATTGCACAGCACATCACACTATCTTTGCAAAGCTGTACATGTTCCTACAGCTTGAAATGGAATGTAGTCCTGCTCTTTCTTCTGTGTGCTGCTCTGCAAGGGGCAGGAAGTATCCCTGGCTATAAGAAGTGGTAGGGTTTAAAAAAAGACGTGACATCAAATATCAGTATATATGTAAGTGGGAAAAGCATGGCTTCCAGAATAGGAGGGAAATGCCATACCAGCTTGCAATACATGGGGCAGTGCTCCTGCCTGGTTGCTCCTGTGTTGTTGCCGTTGGAGGCTCTCCTGGGCATAGCTGAGTAGACAAGTACAATTTTGCTGTATGTTTCTGATTTCACAAAAGTGCTTAAACTTAAGGCTGTGGTGTTGTCATTTTTGCTTTTTATGGGACCAAGAGAAGGCTGAGTTCTCATCAAGTTCATAAGGTGAGAGAGGCCTTCTAGCTTCTGGGTTTAGCCTGAATACATACAAGGAGCATCCCTACATTTATTCCATTAGGGAAAAAAAGAAAAGCAGCATCCAGCCCCAGACCCTGCTCATTGCGGGTGTGAGAAGAGTGGCCGCAGTCTCGGAAGGCACCAAATGCCCGGCTTCCAGTTGCCCCTGGCTGCAGCGGCAGAAATCTGTGACTTGGCCGAGCTCTGCTTCAGGGGGAATGCAGAGCCTTCTCCGTCGGCTCTCCAGCTCCCAGGACCTGTGCTGCCCCGGTTGTCCCAGCAGCTGCCCGCTGAGCACTTCTGCCTTTCACATCCTCTTCCCCTGCTTGCACAGCTTACAGCTAGCATTTCGCTTTTTTTTTTTTTTCCCTTTAATGGCAGAAAGGCCTCCCCGCCTAATCTAATTCCTGCTCCTTTGTCACAAGCAGATGTCACTTCTACATCTGTGCGTCTGCTCG